ATGGCTCGAAAATATCTCCCTTGGGCTATTGCTTATTACCGGTGACGTATGAAAATCGTAGTGAAATTATTCGTATTTATATTATAAAAACAGATATAAAACAACCAGTTCTGTTGGGTCGTAATTTTATAACGTGTTTTAATATGACACTGTGTATTGGTGACTGTAACAATTTAGAACAAAACGATTTAGTAAAAGAATTGAAGGAAACATATTCATGGTCGTTTACAGATGAGCTGGGAACTTTTAATAAATATAAAATAACTTTAAAAATAAAAATGATGCTCAGTTAAAGTTTTTTAAGCCGATAACAGTACCATTAGCTTTGAAACATAAAGTTGAGTTAGAATTAAATAAACTTTTAGATTTAGGTATTTTAGAACGCGTAGATTATTCAGTACCCGTTCTTCAGTCAGACGGTAACATACGCATATGTGGCGATTATTCAGTGACGTTGAATAAATTTTTATACTCTGATAGTTACCCGCTTCCACGAATAGAAGATTTATTTGCTAAGCTTCATGGTGGCGTCCAATTTTCATAATTAGTTCTTTCTAGAGCCTATAATCAGCTTTAGTTCGATGACTAAAAAATTAACGTGTATTAACACCCACATAGGTTTATTTTGTTACAATAGATTAGTTTTCGGACATTCATGCGCCCCAAGTATTTTTCAGAAAACAATTGATCAACTTTTATCAGGAATTGAGGGACTTTGCGTATTTTTAGACAATATCTTAATAACGGCCCCAACAAAAGGGGAACACCTAAAACGATTACATCAATTACTTAGGAAATTACAGGCATCAGGACTTAGATTAAAGAAAGATAAATGCGATTTATTTAAAGACTGTATTGAGTATTTAGGTTTCATCATTGATAAGTCAGGACTACGTAGATCAAACAATAAAGTGAAAGCAATATTAGAAAGTAAATGTCCTAATAATGTCACGGAATTGAAATCATTTTTAGGGCTTATTAATTATTATAGAGGATTTATGCCTAATGTATCGAGTTTATTAGCACCCTTGCATTTACTTTTTAAAAAAGGCGTAAAGTGGATGTGGCAAGAAAAACATTTAAAAGTATTCAATAAAATCAAATATGAATTAGCGTCTGACAGGATGTTGGCATATTATAATCCCGACCTAATTACAATAGTGACGGCTGATGCGGGGCCGAACGGGTTCGGCACATTGCTCGCTCTGCGTCAGCTTAACGGCGTTGAGCAAGTAGCGTACGCATCGCGCTCGCTCATAAATGCCGAACGAAATTATGCACAAATCCAAAAAGAAGCGACTGCTATAATTTTTGCTATAAAAAAGTTTCATCACTATTTATACGGCCGCGTGACCCCTTTTATTTTGCGAACTGATCACAAACCTTTGGTGTCGATTTTTCGCGGTAGAAAAGGTATACCTGAAATGGTAGCGAATAGACTAACGATATGCTATATTTTTGTCGGCATACAATTTTACAATAGAGTATGTCAAAAGTGAAAATAATGTTGCCGATTTTTTATCACGATGTTCAGTAAATAATTGTTCTGAAAATATTTAAAGTAGTCCAGATCAAACTAATTTAATTATTAATTTTATTAACGATAATATGTTAAAACCTATTACGGTAAATGATATTAGGAAAAAAACTATGCAAGATCAAATAATCTATAAAATTATAAATTTTGTTATAAATGGCTGGCCATCGAAAATGCACAACACGGAACTTAAACCGTATTTTAAATGTAAAAATGATTTAAGTGTCGAAAATGGGTGCTTATTAAGGGGACATAAAGTGGTTATACCAACAGTTTTTAGGGAAAGTCTACTTAAAGAATTGCATAAGGCCCATTTTGGCATTGTAAAGACTAAAAATGAAGCGAGATCGCGTATATGGTGGCCCAATATTGATAAGCAGATTGAAAAATAATAGGATCGTGTAGTATTTGCAACTCGCTCCGCTATGATCCACCCCGTTCTCCACTGGCATCGTGGCCATTTCCGAAACGTCCTTGGCAACAAGTTCGTTTAGATATGTTTTCTTTACCCAACAAACAATTTTTAATTATTGTAGATGCACATTCAAAGTGGATTGAATGTTTACAAATGAATAATACAGATAGTGAAGCAATTATCAGCAAACTTTTAGAGATTTTTAGTAGATTTGGGTTATGTCGCATTTTGGTAACCGATAATGCGAGTAATTTTTGTTCAAATAATTTGAAAACTTTTGTTTGTCAAATGGTATACAACATTTAACTTCTCCTTCATATCACCCAGCATCAAATAGTCAAGTAGAAAATACTGTTAAGATAGTTAAAAGGGAATTAAGGATTATTTTAAAAACACATACTGATCAAAAATCGATAATTAAAAAATTAAATGAGTTCCTTTTTAGTTATAGAAATTCGGTTCATTGCACTACCGGTTTCTCACCTGCTCAGCTGTTATTAGGCCGTCCGCTCCACTGTCGACTCGACTTACTTAGTAACCACAAATTTGAGCAGAACACAAATGATACATCTTTATCATCCACAACCAATAATGTTGCAAATAAACAGATCTTACAGAGTAAAAACTATGATGAACGAAGAAAGAGCAATTTTAATAAAGAGGATAAAGTTTTAGTTAAGCATTTTTACAACACGGGAACGATTACACGTGGAAGTTCGGCGTAGTTAAAAATAAATTAGGAAATAAATTATTTACTGTTTTTGTTCCGGAGTTAAATAAATATTATAAAAAACATGTCGATCATATTGTTGCATACAAAGGAAATAAAAATGTAGAATATGATTTAGATTTGAGTAATTTTGAAAATTTTTCTAATATCTTGAGCACAGATCAAGCTAATTGTAACGCAAAGGCTACAGAAGTTGTAACCATAACTTCCGACTCCTTGTTATTATGAGGAGAAGAGGGCGAAAGTTCTGGCAGGAAATCCAATCGATATTTAGAGGTACCAATGCAAGGGCTGCCTCCTCGCTGAACTAGAAATCCGAATCCAAAATATGAATTTTAAAAAATTACATGATTTGTTATGCATTTTTATCATTAGGTACTTATGTTTTTTTTATATTTGGTGGTGGAGAGATTGTTTTGAGTATGAAAGCCATACTATTATTACGAAAAAACTAAGATCTGACAGTTGTTGTCAATAAATAAAAAGATATGAATCCAAATTATGTTTTAGTGGTGAAATCCCCATAAATATACAATATTTTTTGAGTGTTTTTTGTATGAAAATACACTGCAATTCTGCATTTTTATCGGAGCTCGATTTCGTGAATAAAATTAAAAAGTAAATCGTGGCAGTCAATCGAGCTGCTCGATTGACTGCCACGATCACTTGCGGAATGGCTGACGACGCGGAGCAACTAGTTTTATATAACAGGTATAAATCGAACTCTCGTACCTTTGACAGAGCGGTATACCTTGCTATGCCGCCTCCTTTGGTTTAATACTCAAAGCTATAATTATAATAATAGTGTCACCAGCAACTATGTTTGAACTTTGAATGTGTAAAAAAAAATGACACGTGATGGCGTCACGCGAAATGGATTGAACTTGTTCTTCGGCAGATTGCTACACATGTGTTATCGTTTGAACCACGGTTAAGTGTATTTTAATATGTAAAAATGCTCCGAATTCTTGTATTAAATATCTGTGCAAGTGAACTATTAGTATGGAGTGTAGAAGTAAGGAGTACAGACTGTGTATTAAAAAGTGTCTATAGAAAACCGTTAAATAAGGGTGGCGCCACTATAACTACGGGGTATACTTTAAAGAACGCACCGAAAAATATTAGAGGGATAGACGACTTTTTCGAGGTTATATTTACTAAATAAAATTATTTTAGATTTTAGAGCTACTGAGCAGTTTAGCAGCTCACTTAAACCGTCGACAACTGCTAAGTTCATTTCATCCCAGTAGCTACTTCAGCGCTGTTGTGGAGAGTTTTTGAGCTGTTATTTACTGCTTACAAATGGCCACTTTTTCAACTATTCTACTATGGGAGTTGGTGCTCCTTGCTTCTACACTCTATACTATTATGGATAAAAATCTCAAGTTTTTATACGCTAAGCAGGCACATTGAGATATTATCGCCTTAAAATGTCTTATATATATATATATGATAAGTCATAGATAAATAAATATGTAGCAAGCTAAGTATTAAACTATCGTCAAAATGTCGATACGTTACGATACGCACGTTGTGAAGAATTTTGTGAACAACATGCACGTTAGATTAGGCTATATGAGCGTAGGTTCCTTTGCCTTTACTGTTATCAATTATTACTGTCACTGTCATTGAGTTTGTTCAAAATTTCAAATTTGTCAAATCAGAAATTGGATTCAGTGCGATAAGAATAATGGACTTATTATTTTAGAATGACTAAAATGAAAGGAATAGAAACTAATTTTATTTTAGTTAATTAGTAATAGATTAAAAACTTAACTAATAAACATTTAAAATTTAAACTGAAGGTTTGTCATTTAATAATATATTATTTTACCAATATAAATTAAAATGATTAATTAATCATTTTTAAGTAATAATAATATAATTAAGTTAATAGTTAATAATAAATACTTATTATTACTTATTAAAGTACATATTTGCTGAACAAAGGAGTTAAGTTTCTGAGATCATAACATTTCAATTGTTGTATAAATAGTTAGAAATGTTTAGCTCGTGGGTGGGCTAGTTGGACGATCTGTAGTGGATAGGATAATGTGACGGTGTCAGTGTACGCTGCACGCCGACAACTTGAGCGCGCGGCCAGGTGCATATTAAGTAGAATACTCAATGATACAGCTTACTGAAAATATCAAATATTTTAAGCTTTTACACTTAAACAAATTAAATTAGAAAATAGTATAAAGTGTCCAAATTTAAAATGAAATTAAAGTATTTGATAAATCTGTGTTGCAAATACCTGTAATTAAAATTCTTTAAGAAATATATCTGTATCTAAATAGTGAAAAAGAAGAAAGAAAATGGCATCTGAAGAAGGTGGCATACCAGTGGACCTGTATATATATGATTTGACCAATGGATTAGCTTCTATTCTCTCACCTACCATCCTAGGTAAGAAGATTTTTTGTTATTTTAAACAATAACATCACTATCATCAACAGTATTTTAGCCCTACTTAATTAGGCATTTTCAAGAATGTAACAAGTGATATGCTAAGTGGATTTAACTGTACTCACTATACTGATAAGTTAGTGAGCTCAGAATCCATATCCTCCTACTACTGGTGCTACTCCCCACCATCTGTCTGAGTTTGTGATCAGCATTTTATCATTTTTATATTTTCGCATCATAATATGCTGTGATTTTAAAGACATTTATTTCTATAATAAACAAGTACCCAGATGACCGAGCTTTGCTCGTTTTTTTTTTGAAATTACATTTAGATACAAATTACATACTGATGAATAATATTTTTTTTATCTTATTGACATAATAGAAAAAATTGAACTGGTTATTTGAATAAAAAATCATGAGTGCAATTAGTTTATTTAAAATTTTTGTATTTTTATAAAATAATAAAAAAAGTGCTGGAAATAATAGATTTTCTCACAAAAGAAGGGAACTTGAAAAAAAAAGGAAAAAAGTCAGACCTAGACGGGACGCGAATCAAGGCATTAGGATTTTTTCGACCGCTCGCTATCTACTTGAGCTATTACGATCATTAACACATTGTCAAAATTTACCTTCTTATATTGTAGCAGTTTTTCATTGCCTGAAAACATGGACAAAAAAACATTTTCTAAAAATAAATTCTAGCTAGATCGATTTATTGCCCCCGAAACTCCCTGGACACTAAATTTCATGAAAATCTTTGGAGCCGTTTCCGAGATTCCTATTATATATATACAAGAATTGCTCGTTTAAAGGTATAGGACTACGGTTCACATAGATTATGAAAAAACAATTATGCCATTTGTTATTGCTACAACTATACATACCATAATTAAAATAATAGTTTATTTTATTTTATGTTTTTATGTTATAGAAAATCAACAGCTGACAAATTTTAAATTAATAACATGTTTAATTACAAGAAGTCAATAACAGGTTCTCACTAATGAACAGAGAATAAAAATTAGAAGTTCTTGAAAGTTTTTATTAACTACTGAGGGTGGTTCTCTCATTTCAATTATAAGAGGAATAAGTCAATAAATAATTTGTTTAGTTTTTATTTTTATTTTCTGATTCTATCTGTTACGTAATGTTTTTAAGAGTTTTGTCAGTGTGATATTTATAGAATGTAACAATTATATGTAGAATGTAGAAAAGTTGTGTGAATGTATGTTAATTACAATCAGGTGAACACTATCTTTGTATTCATTCATTTATCATTTATCGCAATCTATCAAAGTCCACTGCTGAACATATGCTTTCCCTTTTCATCGTAAGTGGGATACAGCTATAGTCGTCACATCTAGCAGTTGTGTCAGCAATTACAGCTTTCTGTTATACTTAGACGTCATCAGGAATGCTGCTGACAATGTCCTGTTTCATTTCTGTCTATGGTCCCTTACGACACCCACATCCCACATCCCACAGGATGATATGGGGTAGTGGATATTGTTACACCACCGTTACTCTTACTTTTGACTTTACTTATTCTGCCACTATGTGGTATAAAGTTATACTATCCTAAATTTAGAGTTAACCATGTAGTGGCAAAGTAAAAATTTCCATTAACCTCTATAGTTTCAAGGGTGTATTAGAGATAATAGATGAAAACTGAACCAGGATATGGACACCACAATCTTCTGATAACACCTCAAAATAATAAAACACTGCGGTTGCCAACCCACCTGCTAAGAGAGACAACTATGGCAAAATCCCCTCTATGAGGCAATTTATGGGGGAGGCCTATGTTCAGCAGTGGACTTTTATAAGCTGTAATGGATGTATGGAAATTCAGTACTAAAGATGGTTAATATATCTTTTAACTGTTAAAATAAACAGTTAAAAAATTAATTTATTAAATAAATAAAATTAATCTTATTGAATAAAATTTTCTAATCATAGCTGTGTTTGTGCCATCTAGCCTATTCTTTGTGTACCACCTTGAGAGTCACTCAAATTTCGTTTGATAAGATGACATCATCTATAGAATGAAGTAGATGGTGCTATTAAAATTTTGTATACTAAAGAAATAAGGTAAATATTCTTTAAAAACATCAATACATGTATTCTTTTAATTTATTACATTAAAATTTAGACATTCACATTTAAAAATGGATTGTAACAATTATTTGCTATAAAATTAAACTTATATCTCATTGTGGTTGAAAATTATCATATTATTAATTAACAAATCATTTGCCGTTAAATCATGTGAAGTGATATTTTTATTAAACCGTACAAACTGATATTTTTAATTTGTATGGGTAACACTATTGGCTGAATATGTTAGTGGTTGATGTTAATTTTATCTATTTTGTTGTTACGCTATTGGCTGAAATATTGGTTGGTAATTATTTAAACGTCGTTATTTAAATTTCCGTCGAAATTTGGGCGGTGTTACAGTTTCTTCAGCGGTGCCAAGTTGACTGTCGGTATATCGAAGTGCTGAAGTGTTTGTATAGTACGGCTACGATGGCTATCCGAGTTCAGAAGCAGAGTATGAAACCTATCCAACCGCAGAGAGGTGTAAGACAGGGTGAAGTTATTTCCTCGAAACTCTTTACCGCTGCATCGGAAGACGTTTTCAAGCTACTGGACTGGAAAGGATACGGTATTAACATCAATGGCAAGTACATCACTCACCTTCAATTTGCCGACGATATAGTCTTTATGGCAGAATCGCTTCAGGACTTATGCACTATGCTCAATGACCTCAATAGTGCCTCCCAACGGATAGGTCTTAAGATGAACATGGACAAAACAAAGATCATGTTTAATGTCCATGTCACACCTATGCCGGTAGTTTTTGGGAGCACTAAGCTCGAAGTTGTTGATGAGTACGTTTACCTGGGACAAATAGTACGACTAGGTAAGTCCAACTTCGACCGAGAGGTCAATCGACGGATTCAACTCGGCTGGGCAGCGTTCGAGAAATTACGACGCATCTTCTCGTCAGGTATACCTCAATCTCTAAAAACTAGATTGTACAACCAGTGCGTGTTGCCAGTGATGACCTACGGAACCGAGACGTGGTCCTTCAATGCTGGCCATATGAGGACGCTCAAAGTTGCTCAGCGAGCTATGGAGAGGGCTATGCTTGGAGTTTCTCTGCGTGGTAAACTTAGAAATGAGGATATTCGCAGTGGAACCAGAGTGACCGACATATCCCAACGGATTGGTAAGCTGAAGTGGCAATGGGCCGGCCATATAGCTCGAAGAACCGACAACCGTTGGGGAAAAAAGATTCTCGAGTGGCAGCCTCGTACCGGTAGGCGAAGTGTAGGGCGACCCCTACTAGATGGAGTGACGACCTGGTAAGACATGCAGGAAGTCGATGGATGCAGGTGGCTCAGGACCGTGCTTTGTGGCATACCTTGGGGGAGGCCTATGTTCAGCAGTGGACTTGTGTAGGGCTGTAATGATGATGATGATGAATTATTTAAACTGTTTAAATGAAGCGCGTCAGTTTATTATTATTTTATTTAGAGCTTACTTCTTCAGTAGGAGTAAGTATTTTTGAAATAAGTATTTTTGACTCTGTGATAATACTTATTTCTTATTTATATTGATATCTGTGCACTGAAGATATTTTTGTTGTTGTGAAGCAATAAAAAGATCGTTTTTCTTACGACTTGAATTACCACCGATTGAATTGACCAATCAGCGCGTTTCTTTGTTAGACATATATACACATATACATATACATATACATATACACTCAGCGACATCTAGCAGGCGTCGTGAGAAACTGATGTCATTACCGTTCAATCAATTAATTATCGATTAACCATGTCGTCTAAGATTAGAAGTGATATCAACAGCGGCCGCAAGAGGTCATTACATGTTACATGCTATAAATGTAAAAGTCGTGTCGATTATAAAAGCATAATTGTGTGCACCTTATGCAAAAACTATTTTGAATTTTCTTGTGTTGGCAATCCAGACAAGAGTAAAAAATGGCATTGCAAATTATGCGATAAAAAAATAGCTCGGCAAACTTTATTAACTATCGACGAGAGCAATGTGACATTGAGGAAGAAGATGTGGTACACAATATAAGCGATAATGTAATCCTACCTTCTAATACTGCCCAGGAGACCACATTATATCTACTCCAGCTAGCACAGAATCAGGGAAAGAAACTACGGACATTTTTCCGATGGTCTAACTATTGATGAAACCTTGTTATCAAAAAGTATGGATTACACAATGACGGAAGTTGTCTCTATTCAGGACATGAGAGACATCATAGAACAGCTACGAATGGACCTTGCCACAACACAAAATGAACTTGAAAACATTATTCTAGACAATAACAACCTCCGTTCACAAGTGACCAATCTTATCAAAGAAAATACACATTAAAGGCTTTTCTATCCAAAACACCGCCAAAGAAAAGTAAATCAAATTGTAGCACCAAAAAGAAAGTTAGAAGTTCCCCACGATATTAAGATGTAAATATAATAGCCACACCGCCCAGAGCATCCAGTGACAACAAGACAGAGGAATTCTCTAACGGGAACATCCTAACCCTCGAGCAGAATCTTAAAGATCTCGAGCTGCAACTGAAGTTAGCCAAAAACGAAATAGCGGACCTTAATAATCAAATCATAACCCTTCAAACGGCAGTCCAAGCTAAAGAATTCGAAGAATCCTCGCTAATTCAAACACGATTAATTTAAACTCAGAAATTGATAAAAGTAAGAGACCCTAATTGTGTATCCTGACTAACAGCTCATCCTGGGGTACGAGGTCAGCTGTTGATGCTACGTTCAATAAACAGTTTGACTACATCCGCTATTTCTCGCCGAATAATAATATTAAATATTTACTTCAGAACATTGATAAAAAATTGCATGGATATGATATGTAGATGTAGAACTACATGTGATTGTATAGAGTTAGTAAAAGCCATAAGGGAAGCATTACACCATATTTCT